ATGGCCAGGAAGTACTCCACCAATGGCGTGGTCCTGAAGATCGATGTGGACAAATTTGAGGAGCTGACGGAGCGCTACAAGGTGCGCAGCATGCCCACCTTTGTGTTCCTGAAGAACAACCGTCGTGTGGCCGCTTTTTCCGGCGCGGATGAGTACAAACTGACCAACATGATGGCCAAGTTGGTATAAACCTAGAAAAAAAGAAAAAACCCAGTGATAAATCGTTCGGAGCAGGACTCTACACCTAAAGTTCAAAGTGTTCTTTTTTTGTACTTGTCTTACCTCAACTATTATATATGATGTATATCTCGTAAGCGATGTGGGAGTAGGAGTTGCGCGTGTGGTCATAAAAATCAGAGAAAAGCAGAAATCTTGGGTTAAGCCCGAAAATCATAAAAAAAATGCAAAAAAACCTAACCTCAATCTTCATAGAAACCATTTTGTATATGTATTTTATAGTGCGTGGAGGCGTCTGCGACATAACCTCTAAGGTCTGGGAATTGTATTCTGTTTAAAATCAACTCGAAATGCCATTTGGACAAACAAATTAGCTTTAAGGTTAGGCACTTAGCAATTCGATCAATAAATAACGAGAACTAATTTATCGTGCCTAAAAGTGGATAGAATATGTAAAGTTCGTCGGTCTTCTGTCCACACTGCCTAATAAGCTTAGCTGTCGCTTGATCGTAACATGATCGGGCTGTATTTCGGCCACATACCCGCCCCTAAACACGTTGGGTGACAAATGGATCGTCGCCGGCAGCGCTTTACGATCTCCTAGTGTCATTGTCGTCAGTCGAAAGTAAAAACGTTGTTCCTGACCCCCTTTTCCAGCTTACCAGCTCCCCCTCTTAATGGGTTTCTATGAAAACATTATTATTTTTCTGTTCTCATTATAATTTTATTGAAATGATTTGTGCACGGGTGCATAATGCTAACAAGATAAAATATATATGTGTAGGTGTAATTTGTAGTGTTCAGACTGAAAGTAAATGAAATAATGTAAAAGAAAATAAATATACATATATGTTTCTTCCAAAGTCTTCTAAGAAGTTATGAAAATAATTGTTCTTGATTGACACGGCTTATGTTGTCGCCCTGGTGCATTCGTACATGTATTTATTATTATTATTTATTATTTATTATTTATTTACATATAATAAACTTACTCTTTAAACTCCTGGCGATGAGATCTCGATGCTCTGGATGTTGGGGATGGTGAAAACATTACCTTTAATGAATATAGATATATATATATGTAACAATAGTAGCTTAACATTTTTTTTTGAACAGCACAAAAACAAGACATATGGAGGGAATGCAGAAAGACCATCGTAGGGGGGCATTCGGAACTTTGTAGTGGTGTTGACACTGCATGCCTCAGGTTGCACTTGCACGTTCACTTTGTTGCTGGCGGTGATAAAAGCGTATTTCTTTTGTGTGGGCTATCACCTCCACGTTGTTGACCACGTTGGCGGTGTTACCGTCTGCTTTAGTCACTTTGGATCCCATCCTAGAGTCCTCAAATCGAGACTTTACTCTTTCGAACAAAGGATTCATTATTCTTCACGGTGGGTGTTCTGAACGGGACTTTTTCTCGAGTTGACCGACAGTGGGATATTAGACGAACTGTAGATAAGTTTCTGATCTGTTATTCTAGGGTCAGCTTGCGGATTTAAAATTAAATTCGTAAAAATTCTCCAGGTTGTGCAATTTTTGGTGTTTTCGACATCAAACAAACCACGTTCTCTTCTTTTCTCTTTCTTTCTATTTGTATGTGTCTATTAGAATGTTCTATAATTAAAGGAGTAAATCGTGAGTATGTGTATCTATCTTATACTCTTTTTGCCCTTGCAGAGGGTATTATGATTTTAGTCAGAAGTTTGCAACGCAGTAAAGGAGACGTTTCTGACCCCATAAAGTATATATATTATTGATCTGTCCGTCTGTCCGTCCGTTTCTACGCAAACTAGTCTTTCAGTTTTAAAGGTATCGGACTGAAACTTTACCAAAAGTCTTATTTCTTTTGCAGGCAGTATATAAGTTGGAAGCAGCCTGATCGGACAACAACATCTTATAGCTCCCATAGGAATAGCCGGAAAAAAAATTTTAAAAAATTATATCTATGTTGTTTTTTAACATATACCCTCCTACGCTTGGAAATAACATAATTTAGTTAGTTATGAATTTCAAATTTAATTTTATCAAAATCGGCCGACTATATATAGCTGCCATAGGAACGATCGGAAAATTGGTGGGAAAATAATATGAAACAAATCATAGCTTGGGTGTCTTGACATATTATCTTATACTATTAGGAATATAATTTTTAGTGTTTTTAAGAATATCGACTTAAATTTAATAATTATAACTGCAAGGGTATATAAACATCGGCTTTCCGAAGTTAGCTTCATTTCTTGATTTTAATTAATTTAAAAAAAAAACGTAATATTTTTTTTATTAAAGTTAAGTTGTAAGTACGAGTATATCCTATATTTTTACTTAAAAGGAAAAGCGCTGAACTACGCCCTCTCCCGGGAAAAGCGGCTCCTCTGCCTCTTGGTCAGACGCCCGTTTCTCCGCTCCGCTGTCGGGAATAAATTGATCCCCGGGCGTGTACTCATCCGTCTGGTGACTGCGAATCTCGGAAATACTGGGTTCCGAAACAGGCCCTGGTATAAGGCTGCGTACCAGTCCGCCTCTTCCCTTATTCGCTGGTGAGTTGCCACTTACGCTTCGTAGTTGAGCATGTTTTTCTCCTGGCGCTCTACCAGCGCGAGGAGCCTATCCAGGTTTACCAGAGGATCCACAAGAGCCACCGGAGCTGAAAAACAGTGAACTCGATTTGGTCCTAACCTTGCATTATACCCTATGCCTGTAGTTTTTTCGGTATACAATCTGACCTACTGCAAGCTGGACTTTTTTGATTCGTGTATTATATGTCCTTTCGGCCTTGTCGTGCGCCCTTCACTTTATCCCGGACTAGCTCCATCTTATCTGCGAGGCACAGCGCTTGATCTGCTGCCGCAATGACACCAAGGCATCGCATTACCGCATACGGGCTTGCATAAGTAACCATCTGGCTCCCAAAAATTGCATAGTAAGGTTTAAGTCCCAAAGCTTCATTAGTGTCCCAATATCGCAGGTCTTCCTCAGTCGTTTCCCTGAGCATTTGCTACACGAATCGGTTAACCCTTTCAGCTGCATTCGCTCGTGGAGCATAAAAGCCCTTTCTTACGTGTCGGACTAATCGCTTTCTTACTGTGTGAACAAATCGCCGTTATCGGAGTGTATAAGCTGTGGCACCCCAAACTGATAAAACTGAACTGATGCTGATGAACTGGCGACTTCTCCTGCTATGGCCTTCCGCATCGGTTCTAGCCAGACGAACTTGGTGAAAAGATCTAGGCATATAAAGATTACGGTGTTTCCGCGCGATGTTCGTGAGTAGGGTCCCATGAAATCAATGTATTATCTTTTTGTCGGGACGTTCGGTAATCACCCATTGGCGGTCGGTTCGTTTTGTTAGCGGTTTTGCTGACCATGCATACTTCGCAATTCTGTATGGTTTCCGGGCCAGTAATAGAACTGCCGTATTCGTTCCAGTGTTTTCTAGATTCCCCCGCTACTATCTCTTTGCCGTCCACTTTTGTCTTAGCAAACAAGCAGTTATCGTTTTACAGGCTGATTATGGAACTCACTAATTTTCTTCGGAATCTCCGAGTGATTTTCATTGCCTGACGCAGGTGCTGAAGCTTCTTGTCCTTCCGGTGGTATTTCTCGTCGTCCTGGTTCTCCTCCGTGTTCAAGATATTGGCGCGAGCCTCCTCATATTCGATCTTCCGCTTCTACCACGTTTTATGCGGAGAAATCTGTACCGAGCTCGCGATGGTATGCCTTATTGTTTCTGGGCTTCGTTTTTCTGACCTTGCGCCGCAGCTATCCACTTTAGATCCGTTAAGAATCTCGTTGACGTGGCGCTGGCGTGTTCGCTTTTCCCCCATCCATTTCTCCAGCCGCCATCCTTTCTCCTTGAACTCGGCCAGTAAGTTTATTGGGGAAACCACCTTTAATATTTCCACCAGGTTCGATACTGGAATCTTATTCCTCATTTTTTAATGCAGGTTATGCATGGCCAAAATCGTATAGGTCCGCCTTGTCCTCCAATACTTGTCAATACCACTTCAGGGCTGGACCTGTTCGTCGATGCATCCGGGAGTAGGAGGATCGGGTGGAGACTGTCTAGCGTGTCCCTGTAGGTTTCTGGATCCATGGGCTTCGCTTATTTCCGCGACGCGCGACTTTAGATTCCATTTGTGTATTCAGCTCTGTTATCTGGGTCGCAAGCACGGCCTTCAAGACATTGTCCTACATGATAATGGAAGAAAGCATTCTTTCCAGACGACTTATCGGGGTTGAAGGGCGCGACCTTGCCCCTGTGCTTGGGAGCACACTGGACCGTCCTTGTGGACCGTCCCAAGTGCTGGCTCACTCCGCAAACAGCGTCCAATGATTCATCCATGCCTGACATTTTATAGTCTGCCAGGCTTCCTAAGTTATCAAGTTTACTGCTGGTGTTTGCTTGCTCTTGATCTTTCTTGGAAATGCTTTCTCTCGTATGGCTCGCCGGTCTTGACGCTAGTGTAGATGCCCGCGCCGATCTAGTCAAGGGTAATCTTAACGCGACTTTTTTCTTTTTCCCTGCCATTAATTACACGCTAACTTATGCTCTACCTAAGTGGAAGGCAGTGGAGTCCCACCTTTCCCTCATTTGCCTGCGCATGGTACGGGAGAAGCCAGGCACCTCTCCCTGCTGCATGGACGCGGGCTGGGACCAGGGCAGCGTCAAGTTGGTGGCCTGCGACAGTCAGCGGTCGGCTGAGGTATACGAAGGGGCGAACATCGTTGCGCTTGACTGGTGCGATGTTCCCAGTAGACCCCGACCCAGGATCTGGCTTCCAGCAGCGATCAAGGCGCCGGAGGACATTCTCTTCATGTTGCAAGAATGCAACCCGCACCTCCCCACGAAGGACTGGAAAGTCGTCATGGTGGAGGAGCATGAAGGGGACGTCAACCAGGCGGTTTTGGTCTTGAACAAGGAGTCAGTTGCTCCGATCGAGTCTGCTCGAGGAGTGCTGAACTTCGGGTTCAGTGCGATACACATCAAGGTGTATAAGGGCGACTACAACGCCGCCAGCAGCTCT